GGTGTTCTTGTACATCTCTCCTCACTTCATATCAGCTGGATACTTCACTCTCAGCTATAGCCCTCTGTGTCTATGTCCCTGTCCATGGGCTCAAGAGTCCCCAGGTCTCACCCCACTTTGGACCAACCTGCCCTTCCTCTTCTTTATCTCATCTCTAGGTCAACAGAGTGTATGGAATGTGGTTGAACTCAGTCCATTTCTTCATTACCGCCTTTTCCCATCTTCCACACACCAGTAGACCAATGTGATCGTCAGCAAGCCTACATGCCTGCTTATGTCTTCCCGTTGAGTTTTGGTCTTATAGGGGGTTTGTCCTGAAGGAACTCGATTGTTTGCCTTGATGTCTCCTCAGCGAACAACTTGCTTATTCTTGTAGCCAGTCATACTGCCATTTTTGTTTTGGATTTTTCCTGATGATCTTTCTTTGAAGATGTATTTTCTGTTACTCTAGCTGTTCCAGGCTGGTTTGCTTGTCCTTTCTAGTGGGACTGTCCCACCTCAGAAGATTCTGGATGTGGCTCAGGATTCCACCTAAAGTCCTATACAATGCACAGGCTCCACAAGAGGCCTATTTCATTGGGCAAGTTCTAGAACCCCTTTTAGGTATTCCAGTCAGTTATAGGCTGAAGACAGACTTACAAGCTTTCTGTAATCATGTTTCCGACATTCCTTTCTATCCAATTCAAGGGTCCATTTTACAATGGTAGGCTTAGGTTTGTTTTGGTTTTTTTTCTTAAATGTTTTATTGTGAATTATGTATGGTTTACATGGGAGAACATTAATTAGGTTTGTTTTTTAACTGGACTATGAAAACATCATATTTTAAGAAGAAAGGGAGTCCATCTTATGAAACAATAGAATTGATTTAATTAAAGACTATTCTGTGATTGAAAGGTCATTTTAAAGAAAAGTAAAGCTAGTTTCATTTATGTGTTGTTAGGAGCCATCGAGTCAGTTCTGACCCATTTGTAACCTTATGGACAACACAACGAGACACTGCCTGGTCCTGTGTTATCTTCACAATCTCTGATAAGTTTGAGCGCATTGCTGCTGCCTTTGTGCTGATCCATTTTGTTTGGATCTTCCTTTTTTTTTTTTTTTTTTTTATTTCACTGACCCTTCACTTTATCTAACTTCTCTACAAACTGGCCCCTCTTGATAATATGTTCAAAGCCTGAGAGACAAAGCATTGCCATCCATGTGTCTGCGGAGAATTCGGACTGTACTTCTTCCAACACAGATTTGCTTGTTCTTCTGGCAGTCCATGATATTTTTAATATTCTTCTCCAACACCATCACTCAAATGTGTCAATTCTTCTATGGTCCTGCTAATTCACTGTCCAACATTTACATGCATATGAATCTATTGAAAATGCCATGGATTGGGTCACATGCACCTTAGTCCTCAGAGTGACATCTTTGCTCTTGAACACTTCAAAGAGGTTTTGTGCAGCAGATTTGCCTAATGCAATATGCCATTTGAGTTCTTGACTGCTGCTTCCATGAGTGTTCATAATGGATTTAAGCAAAATGATTTCTTTAAAAACTTCAATCTTTTCTCCATTTATCATGATTTTACTTATTGGTCCAGTGGTAAGGAATTTTGTTTTCTTTATATTGAAATGTAACCCATATTGAAGACTGTGGTCTTTAATCTTCATCAGTAAGTAGTCTAAGTCCTGTTTTCTTTCAGAAAGCAAGGTTGTATCATCTGCACAGTGCAGGTCATTAGTGAGTCTTCCACCAATCCTGATGTCACGTTCTTCGTATGATCCAGCTTTTTAGATTATGTGCGTACCATACAGGTTGAATAAGTATGGTGAAAAAATAGAATCCTTGAGCACACCTTTCCTAAATTTAAGCCATTCAGTGTCCCCTTGTTCTGTTTGAATGACTGCCTCTTGACTCCTCATGGTTACAATGAACTGTTCTAGAATACTCACTTTCTGCAATGTTGTCCATAGCTTGTCATGAACTGTGCAATGGAAAGACTTTGCATAGTCAATAAAGCACAGGTAAACATCTTTCCTGGTGTGGTGCTGTGGGCTAATGCATCAGACTGCAAAGTCATTTGAACTGCAAGGTCGGTGGTTCAAGCTCACCAGCTTCTCCTTGGAAACCCTATACAGGGTCGTTATGGGTCAGGATCGACTCAACGGCACTTAACAACAACAACCACAAACATCTTTCTAGTATATTCTTTCATCTGCCAAGATCCATCTGATGCCGTCAGTGCTATTCCTTGTTCCACGTCCTCCTCTGAATCTGGCCTGAATCTCTGGCAGTTTCCTGGCAATATAGTGTTGCAACTGTTTTTGAATTACCATAAGCAAAATTTTACTTGAATGTGATATTAATGATATTTTCTGAGGATTCAGTCAACTCTCTGGAATTGGTCCAAATATTTATCTCTTCCAATTAGTTGGCCAGGTAGCCGTATTCCAGAATTCTTGGCACAGAAGAACACTTGACTCCAATGCTGCAGCAGTTTGTTGAGAATTTTCTATTTGTTTTCCTTCATTTCACGGAGACTTTTTCTTTGCCAGTGCCTTCAGGACACCTTGGATTCAGTACCATTGGCTCTTGATCATAACTCTCTCTCTTGCTCTCTCCCTTTTAAGTTTTTATTGCGAATTGAGTGATAGCTTACATGGGAGAACATCAGCTTTACATTCATCTTATCATATTTTGTTTCATTGCTATAATTGAAATTCCCACCATGCATCAACATTCAACAGCATTTGCTTCCATTCACTTTTTTTTTTTTCATAGATGTACACCAAAGTACTCAGGAATATATAACCATTCAAACAAGCAAAGGGTACACCCCACACCTGCACCCCAGCTGTCAGCACAGGGCTCCTCTCTCTCCCTGTGTCCCCAGACACTCCATCTCTCCACATCATCGTCTCTGCCTCCATCTCTGGAGTCACTGCTTCTCTGAATAGGGTCCCACACACTGCTCTTCTCCTTTGATGGTCCCAGGGTCCTCCACTCCTGGACAGCAAGATCAACCATTCCACTGCTTTTGTTAACAAAATATCTACCTTTACATTTGCAACATTCACAATCAGTCCTGATAGCAATTATTCAGTATTGAACCATAAGAGTCTTATCTGCATCTCCTTTCACCAGCCCATCCAGACAGGTTGGAAACCACTCAGTGGAAATTCCTCCGCACCCTCTGAAACTAAACTCCCTCTTGAAACCTTGTAAGTCAGTCATTTTGTGCCTTTGTAGACCCCCCATTTTGGGTAGCCAATGTCTAAGTTACCCATCCCTGTCAACCCTGTGTACGGAGGGGGTGGGAATGATCCTTGCTGTAAAGATTTGTTCCCTCTTTTGAGCTACTACATCCATAAGTATAGGTCAAGGTCAGCAAATTGTAGTGGATTACTCTTTTTTACCTCTTTCTTCTTCTAGTCAAATTCTGAGCATCCAGACATTAAAGCCAGGTCAAATGGGTACTATCTGCAAGTATGGGTGTTCTTGTGCATCTCCCCTCACTTCATACCAGCTGGATGCTTCACTCTCCGCTTCAGTCCTCTATGGCCATGTCCCTGTCCCTGGGCCCAGGAGTCCCTAGATCTCACTATACTGCTAGCCAACCAGGTCTCAATCCAGGTTGACAGGTGTCTATTGAACACGGTCGGACTTAGCTCACAACTTCATTGCTGTTCCTCCCCCACTACCATTGGTAGACCAGTGTGGTCACCAGCAAGACCACATGCATGCTTGTGTATTCCCCCCGAGTCTCAATCCTGGAAGGAAGTTTTCCCTAAGGGGACCCGACCGCTTGCCT